TGAATTTTCGGAAGGTTGGACCGTCTTTGAATGCATCCATCAATATCTGTTGGTCCTTTCATCAGTCTTGTAAAAATTGGCAGTCAATATAGACGACACATAAAATCCGTCATACTTAGAGAAAAATTAAAGTACTTAGATATATTCTATATAGCCTATATCATATTATTCAAAAGCTACCAAAACTGGAGAACGTATTCGTATTTTAATAACCACTTCTCTTTTATAAAATATTTTTTTATATTAAATTAAATAAATATGAAATTTAAATCTTACTCATAACGTTTAAAAAAAATACCAAAACTGTGATGACATGGCACAAAACAAAAAAAATGTTTATCCAATGGAAAATGATATTTTCAATTTAAACTGTTAAAATAAAATGTTAATCCGAACTGAAAAATTCTCATAACAACATGAGTTTGTCAGTCTAAGTTTTATACGAATAATTGTCATTTTCAGTCCAGACTAACATTTTATCTTACCAGTTAAGAATTGAAAAGAACATTTAACATATCTGGCTGTGAGTTGTGTGAGGGGGTGATTCGCCCAGCTATCACCGTGCCAGGTCAGCTACAAGTCTTCTTACTGCTTCCGTGAAGGCAGACTCGTCCCATCCATTATTACCCTAAACAGAAATGGAAAGTATAACCATCAAATTTTACCAATACAGACACTTTCCATTTTAAGCTTTTAAGTTGAATTAATACAAGAAGTAATGATCTGCAGGACGAATTTGTGAGACGATTTTGAGAGACGATTTTGAGAGACGACAAGTGAAAATAGGATCAAGTTGGTAATTGCTGTTGGGACTACTTCACTTATCGTCTCCAAAATCGTCCCGCAAATTCATCCCGCAGATCATTACTCTAATACAAGCCTGTGTGTATATTGATTGGTTAATAATATTTAAGATTGTTAAGGAATCAAATCAAGCATCTATCTAAGTAATTGTACTCAAACTCAAATATTTATCTTGAACTCAAAATAGTTGTGCTTGTTCAAACTTATTCACGAGTATAAGTATTCTAGCAAGTGAATATTTAAGTTTGAATTCGAACTTTTTTTTTCTTATAATTCTAAATTATTTCAATAACAAATCATTCAATTATGAATTTTTTATACTTTTAGAAATATTGTAATAACAAAAACTTAAATAAGAGCATTATATTAAATCTAATTATAAAAAACAACCATAAAATTCACTTGAACATTTTATTAATAGTTTTAAAAAGCTAAAAATATATAATTTATTTAAATTACTTTTTCAATCTTCTTAAAATTTTAAGTTATTATATATTTTATTTAAATTATAATAAATATATAATATAATTTTACATTTTATACCAAGTAGTTATGTATACTTAAGCTCAAGCTCATTTTTTATTAAGTTTGAGTTTAACTTAATTAGTTCATGAAATTACTCTATTTATTAACAGTCCTAATTTTATTTACGTTTTTCACATACACATTCCCTAGCTACTTTGCAAATCGACCTAAAAATTAGCATTCTAAAAATAATTAGAAAAAAAAAGAGAGGAAATTTTCATACCTCAATTCTTAATCTGAAGTTTATGTTGTTCAAGGGACCTGGTTCTGCTGCAATGGTGTTTGCTTCCATGGACATCAAGTTGACATTTCTGTCTTGCCTCAAGAATTCCAGTAACCGAATTAACATATCCATTACAGAACATTCTCCCCTCACACTGATTCTAAGGTCGACGAACCTTTCCTCCGAGGTTGATTCCAAGGCGTGGATAATTCTAACATTCATTCTTTGGTTTGAGGAATTAGTTTCAATTACTTCCTTCGCCGCCTCCTTTGACTGCAATAGCTGCGCCTCTAATAACTGGTTTTTGCCACTTAGCTCCGACACTTGAGCTATTAGGGAGCTCAAGTACTCCCTTGTGCAACTAAGTACCGACGCCTTGTCCTTCTAAATTCCAGAAAAAGAAAAATTAGAATTTTTATTGAGTGCGGGCAAATATCATATAGTTGAGCGTACGGTATACCTTTGTTCCTGGAGGAAGAAGTGATCTCAAGACCTGGAAGCTTTCGTTGAGCTTCTCGCGCCGCTTGCGCTCAGACATCATATGGTGTAATTGGGTGCTGGTGGGACGGCTGCCAGCTCCGCTTCCCAGAACAAGTTGGCGCCTGCCTGCGTGTAAACTTCTATAAAACAAAATTGATCGATTTAGAATATTCCGCTTCCGTAGACCGGCTCTTGTCTGAGGTGTTGTTGGGGCTAAGGACGCTGGAGTGGCGTAACGCTTGAAAGCACTGGCTTTTGGGTTTAGCTGGTAACTGTAAGGCAGATTTTGCTGGGGACGGTGGTGTGAAGTAGGGGTAGAAGAAGAAGAAGGAGAGGTTAGAACGGCCAAGAAGGCCTGTGTCATTGTAGCATGCTCCGACTCTAGGGATGGCAGCGGAATGGTTCGGATTTGAGATAAGGTTTGCATTGCTTGGTGGAGAGGAGTAGTGGCGGCGGCCGCGGTGGTTCTCGTAGAAATTGGTGGCAACGAGGACGAGCAACCGGCTGTCTCTGTTGCTATATGAGATGAGCTTGGAATGTTAAAAATGAGAGAAGAGTCCGGGCTGCCGGTGGAGAGGGATCTCAGTGATGAAGAAGAAGAAGAAACTGCCCTGGTTGGATTGGGATCAACGGTTAGCTGCTGTGGAAGCTCTCCTAATCCCGGCGGCGGCGGCGACTGCAAAAAGTCTTCTGGGAAAAACTCCCTCATCCTCATCTCTATGTTAATCTATTGATTAAGAAAAGAACTCCATTCATTTAAGAATCAAATTATATATTCAATAAATTAATCAAGAAATGGACATTAAAAAGGACAGAATCTTACTTGTGTCCCATTTGAGAAACCTAGTTCAATCTCGCCAGCTCTGCAACCCATGAAAACTGCTACCTGAATTTATAGAGTGGAATATTAAGAAGAAGCATTTTAGGAGTATTTTTGAAGGTTAATTAAGATCCCCATCTCGTACGGTGTTTAACAGTAAAGGGGAACAAACAAACCTTAATCCTTGCTTCCTGTAATAAAGACAGACACAACATTGTCAGATTCTTTTTGGCATAGAGACATATCCTAGGACAAAACCATGCCAAATGTTTAAAAATCATACCCGATAAAACTGGAGCTGTGTCTCATTGGATGTCATTCTTTGAAGATCAAGATCCCTAAGCTCAAAGTATGGTGTGTTGTTCCTGAACGCAAATCCAGGAACGCGACTGCTGCATCACGTACATATGCTTAATTATATAAGAAAAATGTAGAATACAAAAGAGTCATTACTAATTAATGCATAATTCCGCATATGAATAGATCATACATACTCATTTTCGATTGGAATTTGTGTTTGCTGATATTCAAGGAAGAGCCTCCAAGCAAGAGTTCCGGTTGAGGAACTGGGTTGGTTTCCTTCTTCTCTGTACTTTCCATCATGAAATATCAAACAGCTGTTTAAAAAAATCAGAAGGTAAGCAAAAAATAGCAGTTATAAGAAAACGATCTGTATACATATTTTGTGGATCGATGAACCTACTTGGACTGGGGAAAGTAGGACCAGAGACAAATGTAAGTGCAGCCGAAAGACTGCATAAGCAACCGGAGGAAGTTGGTGCGATCCGTTTCATTCAGCAGGAACACAGCTTCCATCTGAGTGCAATAATTTACTAACGCAGCAGCATTACGGGATCCTGGGTTGTTGAATCTGATCATGTGGCTCTTTTACCTCTCCCCAGCCCCCATTTTGAAAGACATATTTATAACAATGCTAGCATCTAGTCTTTTCTAAGCAGACCCAAGATCGGCCTGCTGAGGGTTGATAATTAAACAAAACTGGTCTTAGGGAAGGAGAGAGGCTTGAAGAAATTGCATGCAGTAAACTAGGTATGTGGAATCAGCTAATATGAATGCAGAAATTACAAAAATGGAGAGAAGGAAGAAGGGGGCCCTCTGAGTTGAGGGGAGGAGAGAAGGAGAGATGGAAGAATTGTCCGGTAAGTAGGAACTTGGAAAAGTAGGATAGAGGAGGGACCAGAGAGAGAGAAAGTTGCTCTAGAAAGTAGAAAAAGAAAGGAAAAATATAAAACAAAGTGGGAAGAAGCAGCCAGCCAAGAGAAAAGTAGGAAAGTAACGGTCAAAGTCCTCCCTCGTGATGTTTTGAAAAGAGTCAATGGAGGAGGGCAGGGTT